GTCTGATGCCAGGTGAATTAGCCATTGCTTTTGGATGTTAAGTTGTACAAATGTATATATGCATGCATGTATGTAAGTATTGATGCTAAGTGACTTCCCATTTCATTTGTATTTGAAGTTCATCATGGGTAATGGTAAGTGGATTTGAAGTTTGAATGGGATTATAATTGGAACTGGATAGCTGAATATTAGTAAAGCAATCAGTCCTTTAAATTGGGCGAGGGGAGCTTTTTTTGGCAYGACTTGTTGAAAACAAAAGAATGTTTGGCATGGAATTTGGAAGGGGAGARCCAAGATTGAGGGAACTTGTGAACTCTTCATCTAAGAAAAATTGGGTTGTCATTGGAGAAAATTCTTTTTGGGGAAACTTTAATCCGCAATTTGAAGCCTTTATAAGGACATAACAAAAAGGAAAATGCTATAGTGTGAGAGAGACCTGATTTCAGGACAGCAGACTGAAATCCATGTATTACTGCATTCCAATTCCAGGGTGGGTCATGGAACCGCTTTCTTGATGAGCTAATGGCATGTTGGGAATTGGGATGCCACGTGGAATGAAATGATCTTGTTGTTGTTTTCCTTTGTATGAGTTCATCATCTAAAGTGAAGCTAGCTCTGGGTATTCTTTCAGGGTTTCAAGATATTAGCTAATTTTTCCATTTATTTRTTTTTCTTAACAACCAGAAGTGATTCCATTTTAGATGTTATATTATTAGTTTAGTTGCCTTTAAAAGCTATATGAGATGATTTAGTTTCATTCTGCATTGTAGAACAGTAGAAGTATGACCATCTCCACTTGTAGGACTATTTGTAGTTTTGTACACTACACTGCCTTGTAGGATGGTTTCTTAGAGATCTGATAATTTATATCTCCCTCCATGCCAACCAAAACTTTTGATGAACTTTGAAATATTAATCTTTTGGTAGCATGGTTGAAAGTGGAAACCTAGTTCAGAATTGGAATTTAATACCTTAAAGGTTTAAACTCATCTATACATAGTGGATAATTTCATGCATTTTTCCCTATATGCCTTTTTCTTCTTATTGCAGGCTGAATTTTTAGCAGTACCACAACATTACTCATTTAGCAGTTACTTCTGTAATCAGGGGAAAAGGTGACTACCAGATTGACTATGTGCCAGCTCCACGGGTCACTGAAGCTGACGAGAAAAATGATAGAAGGTACAAGGTTATTTATATGAAGTGCATTTAGGCAGGAGAACAACCTCATTCACAAATATGTATATTTCTCTTTGTGTATATGTCTATCTTAATTCATTCCATTGGTATAATTCCTTTTGGATCAGCATGGGGTAMATGTCTGATCCTTTTATGAAGAGGATATTCTTGTCTTTTGAATTGCTTTATCATCAGGTTGTTATCTGGGGTATATTTTCATATTTCTGTGTCCATGTCTAGGCCATCTTCCATGTATCATCCATAATATCCGGAAGACA